TCCCACCAAGGCCTCCCTAAGTGCTGGGATCACAGGCATGAACAACCATACCTGGCCTCTTGCATGCATTTTAAATTGTAGAAAAATCTTGTATTACACTCTATTTGGAGACACTCACTTTCTGGGTACCACAGAAAGCGTTTTCAGTTACATCTCTCTTTCCACATGACTGAACAAAGTGACAGAGGGGAAAGACCAACCCCAGGGACCCCTGTGCAGACAGGACACAGGGCGGGGGCATCGAGGCTCTGCAGGGACAGTGCTGGGGGCTGCACCACAGGTCCTTGGTGACCATGCTGCTGCGGACTCAAAAAGAGAAATACCATTGAAAACAGTTGTGACCACAGTGCAGAATTTATGTAGATTTCACTCCCCGAAGGGAGCTGTATCCAGATCCAGGTGCTCACCAGGGTTCTGGGCACCCATAGGCTGTACTGCCACCTCTGGTCCTCGGGGGCTTGCTGCCCTTGACAGCAGCCCACAGTTAGGCTTCTGCCTGTGTCAGGCGACACCTGGGGTCCTTGTCCTCCCAGCTGTCTTTATAAATGGCAACTCACAAGCTACTGCTGAAATATTTTGTGGTAAAGCTAAAAATACCCTGCTGGAATTGTGATAATCCAGCAAATCCACATTTCAGATGCTCTGTGCTTGGTTCAGGGCAAAACCACATGACCCCATTTCCAACCCCACGACTTCCCAGGGAAGATGAATGTGAGTGCCAGGGCCAGGCAGCTGCTCCGGAAGTGGTCAGGCTCCTGGGGACTCAGATGGTCCCATGGAGAACTCATGGAGTCTCCCTCTTGATCCCTGCCTTAGGGCAGACCCAGGTTGCTCACTGGCCTGGGCGTACAGCTCCTCAGACACCCATGAGGGCAGTCTGCAGGCAGAATCCACCTGCTGCCCAGGAAGAGAGTTGGGGGGACAGCTGGCCATGCTGCACCCTGACCTCTGCCCTCAGGGAACAGCCACTGTTAGACTGTTAGCAGGAGGATTTCCAATACACGGTCCTCATACATGTTAGCAACTCTGTAAAGAACTGCATATGTTTAGGCTGGGCATGGTGGCTCACACCTGTAATCCCAGCACTTCAGGAGGCTGAGGCAGGCAGATCACCTGAGGTCAGGAGTTCGAGACCAGCCTGGCCAACATGGTGAAACCCCATCTCTACTAAAAATACAAAAATTAGCTGGGCATCATGGCGGATGCCTATAATCCCAGCTACTCAGGAGGCTGAGACAGGAGAATGACTTGAACCCTGGAGGTGGAGGTTGCAGTGAGTCGAGATTGTGCCATTGCACTCCAGCCTGGGCAACAAGAGCAAAACTCCGTCTCAAGAAAACAAAAAACTGCAGCCGGGTGCGGTGGCTCACGCCTGTAATCCCAGCACTTTGGGCGGCTGAGGTGGGTGGATCACGAGGTCAGGAGATTGAGACCATCGTGGCTAACATGGTGAAACCCCATCTTTGCTAAAAATACAAAAAAAAATTAGCTGGGCGTGGTGGCGGGCGCCTGTAGTCCTAACTACTCAGGAGGCTGAGGCAGGAGAATGGCGTGAACCTGGGAGGCAGAGCTTGCAGTGAGCCGAGATCGCACCACTGCACTCCAACCTGGGCGATAGAGCGAGACTCTGTCTCAAAAACAGACAAACACACAAAAACAAAAAATCTGCATGCGTTTTGCACACATGACTTTTTAAATGTAAAGGCTTTTTAAATGCTTACATTTAAAAATTCCCTTTGGAGGTTCCTCACTTGCAGCATTCAGATGTCATCGATCCCTGTGTCTCTGGGACACAAGGTTGAGGGTGTGGAGTTTGAGGTGGGCAGGCAGAGGCCGGCAGCAGATCTGGTTCTGCTGTGGCTTAAAGAGAGATGTGGGATCAGGACGGTCAAGTTGCAGGGGCCTGACGGGGACCCAGCACAGGGACTGGGGCGCTCACACGTGACATGCATGAGTCACACCTAGACACACTGTATGCATGTGTACACACGTGCATGTCTGCACACCGCCTGCGGATGCACACACACACTACATGTGCTCACACGCCCCACAGTTTGGTGAGCAGACCCCAGGGATCCCTGGAACCCCCAGAAACTGTGAGGAGGAGAAATTCCTTCAGAAGATGCACTCTGTGAGCCACCAGCCCTTGTGATGGAGCTCTCAGGGATATAATGGAGAAGACGGAAGCTACGCCCCACTGGGGTGGAAGGTGACCAGGGAGGAGCTGCTGTGGGGGCCCAGCCCTTCCAGCGGGCAGGGTCCCTGATCAGAAGTATCCCCAAAAAGCGCTGCCTCTGTCTCCTGCCTCTAGTGCAGACAGGCCCCTTTGTGTTCGGTCCCTTAGGTCTCCCAGTACCCAGAGTCAGCAAGCACCTGGAAGTGCCACTGGCGTGCCAGGACAAGGGGACTTGTCTCAGGGCCCACGAGCCGGGCTCAGTCAGGCGAGGGAATTCTTCAGGGGAGGCTAGCGGCAGAGGGCCAGACTAGCCAAGCCTGTGAGGCTGGGGGGCCCCAGGGGCAAGCCTGGGATGAAGCCAGCCAAGGGTGGGCAGGACTCTTGCAGGCTCCCACAGGGACCAGGATTTTCCCACTCTGCACCTCATCCACACCTGCCAGCAGACATTGCTCAGCAGCATCCTCCCCCAGCCAGCAGGGCTCCCTAGGGGTACTCAGCCCATGGCAGGGCTGTGCACAGGGTCTGCACACTGGCTGGAGTCCTTGTTTTGCTGAGGACAAGCAGCAGTGCTCCCATCACTGCCAGCCCTCGGGGTTGCCCCTCTCAGTCTGGGCCTCACCTCCACTGCCCTATGGCAGGGAAGAGAGCGATGGGAGGTGGTCAAGGCAGGGGTGACAGGATCTGCGTGGATTTGGACCTACGGTGGGAACAGTGTTGGGGGTAGGGGAGTCACTGAGGGACACAGATCTCAATCCCAGCAAGGGGACTGAGGCCAAGACCCCGGGCCCATCGGAATCTGGGCTGGAGGGTGGCTGGTGGGAGCACATGTGGATAGGACAGGTTTTGTGTTCATGGGTGCACGGTTCTGAATGAAATGCAGTGTGCACCGTGTGATGACGCCCTGGGAGGGACCTTGCAGTCAGGTTTTCTTCTAAGCAGATGCCATCATTGGCGAGACAGCAGCGGAGCCTAAAGCAGTGGCCTGGAGGAAGAAGGCAGGGCCCTGGGAGCCCCAGCAGCTGAGGGAGGACAGCCAGGCTTTCGGGTGTAGGGTGGCCGCTCCACAGGCCATTGGAGTCTTTAAAGACTGAACAATAGATGCATTTTAAGAGAAAAAAAGCAAACATTTCCTTAAATACCAATGTTGTTTCTGATTGTGCTCTCTCCATCTCAGGTGAACGTGTACGTGCTGGGAAAGACGTTTCTTCTCTTGGCCAGAGAGCTCTGCATCAATGCGCCGGCCATAGGTAGGCATCTGGGTGAGCTGCTGGGGTGTCCAGCAGGCTGCTGTAGGGACCAGCGTGCCAAATGTCCTTTGAGCAGGCCGGGCGCAGTGGTTCACGCCTGTAATCCCAGCACTTTGGGAGGCCGAGGCGGGCGGATCACGAGGTCAGGAGATCGAGACCATCCTGGCTAACCCAGTGAAACCCTGTCTCTACTAAAAAAAAAAAAAAAAAAAAGTCCTTTGAGCAGCGGAGGGAAATCCTGTCCAAGTATGGGACCCCTCAAAGTAAGAAATGTCTCTTAAAGCTGCTAGGAGCTCAGCAATGTGGGGCCTTATTTTCTAAGACAGAGTCTCGCTGTTGTCCAGGCTGGAGTGCAGTGGCATGTTCATAGCTCACTGCAGCCTCAGACTCCTGGGCTCAAGTGATCCTCCTGCCTTGCCTCCCAAAACACTCGGATTACAGGCATGAGACTGCACCTGGCCTGGGGCTTGCTTTCTGCTGCAAAACCAGCGGGCCCATTGTCAGTGCCTGTCAGGTGTGCAGGAAGGTGTAGACAGAGGGAAACAGAAGCGCTGTGTGCTGGGAAAATCTTGTGTGGACAAGGTTTAAGGAACACACCTGGCACCAGGTGCCTCTGGACAGATGGGGACAGTGGGGCAGCTCCTGGATGTGCTTTCCAGCCACAGCCCTCTTTGGTGGTTTTTCTGGCACTTTTGTTCTGTGTTGAGTGTGCAGCATTCTGCGAGTTTATGGAGCTCCTATATACCTTTCTTGATATATGTTAGGTGTAGGGTAAGTCATGTCTCCCCCTCAAGGCAGCAGCAGTGTTCATGCATGCAGAATCTAACCTGGTGGAAAAGTCTAGAAGGAAAGGATCAGAACACTCACTGCCTGATGGTTCTGACCTACCCTTTCTTTACCAAGCAGATGACTGCTTTCCACAGCCTGCTTAGAGCCCACTTTCTTATTTTGCCTGTCTGCATCTAGGAGCATACGTCCTTGGGGTAGAGAAGCACCAGGTGGGGCTGGGTCACCAACAGGACTGAGCAGCGTGGGCTGCAGCAGCAGAGGGACGCTGGCTGGGGCTCTATACTTGGCCCATGCCCTCTCCCAGGTGCCAAGAGGGGCCATCCCTCTTTTCAGGGGTCATACAGGTTTTCCAGAAAGCAACTGCCTACGGGGTGTGCAGAGTGGGAAGACAGAGGCAAGGGGTGGGAGAGCTTGCTTCACCCTATAGTCCACTCCTGCAACAGGCTGTCCCACAGCAGTGTCACAGCTAGTGACACTGTGTCCCCAGGGATCCAGAATGCTGGGCCCAGCAGAATGCTCCCCCCCCAGTCCGTTCATAGGGTAGGACTCTGAGGTGCTAGTGATACATTAGGACATAGAGACAACTAGGCACCTGGTGTTTCCCAGGGTGGCCCAGAAGCCAGCCAGCGACCCAGGGGACGGATGGGCTTCACTGGGGTGCAGTTTGCTCCAGACCACATAGCATGTTCAGCATGACAGCTTTTCTCCTCGGGATGGGAGCTGTTCTGTTGCATGAGAAAGAGAATACCCCACTGTACAACTCCTGTAGTCATTTACTGACACACGGGTGTTATTTTAGGCAACCTTTATTACAGAAGTCCACTATTTTAAGTGACTTTTTGCCGATTTTAGATTTGAAGGGAAGGTCTCAAGTTAAGCTTGGAACCACTTAGAATCCAAGAGGTGGCAGGAACATCCAACCCCTCAAAGCAGGTGGCGTGGGTGCCACTGGGAGGGGATCTGGGGCCTGCCTTGTGCCCTAAATCTTCCTCCACCTGAGACGTGCACCCCAGTGTACCAGAGATGCCTATGACTCCAATCCCCGGGCTCTGGCTGTGTGGAAAAGGCCTCTACTTTACACAGTCAAGTTTCAGCTGACTACATGTCAGAGAGAGACAAGGCTAAGAGCAGTTAGTACATTGACTTCCGCTCCGCTCACTTGCCGATCTACTGCAGCCTCCTCGGGCACCTCAGGCGTAGAAGATGAGCTCAGGGATCTGCCCACCCTGGACCCCAGTCCCGTTGGTGCTGTCCGAGGAGCACTGGAACTGGAAGGCCACCTTTCCGCACTGCACTTCCGTCATCCCCTCCTGCCCAAAGTAGCTGAGTTCGCTGCCATCCAGGACGGCACTGGCCGTGTAGAAGGTGTCTTGTTCAACCTGGACCGGGTGTTCAAACCAGACCGGGAAGGTGTTACTGGATCCGTCTGACATGAACTTGGTCAGGTTCTGAGCCAGAACCACCCCGAGCCGCTTGAGCTCAATCTTCACGCTGTACTCAGCCTTCCCAGAGCTGGACCCATACAGGCCCAGCCCTGCAATAAATACCCTTCTGTCTACTGCAAACTGGATGCTGTCGCAGCGCCCGCGGTACCGCCACTGGTTGCTGCGGTAGGCAGAAGACTGGAATCGGTGGCACCTCTGCGGGGCGAGGCCCTTCCTCTTGGTCAGGGGGAAGTCCAGGCGGGGCTTGTTGGTGGCCGTGTACCACAGGAAGATGCTGTGGGTCTCCTCCAGAGTCAGGATGTCTGACTGGGCAGCGCCATTGGCAAACTCCTCTAGGGTCATGGTTGGAATTCGGACCAGATAGAGGGCTCGCCCCAAAACATGCCTCTTGTTTCGTGGGGTGACTGACAGCCCCTGCCTCTTGCACTCTGCCTCGGCCCAGTTCAGGACGGCCTCGAAGACCACTGCCTCCTTGGTGTTGAGGGCCTCCCGAGTGACAATGATCTCCAGCGTCTGCCGGTCTATCTCACAGAAGCCTTCGGACCGTAGGGCCATCTCGGCCTGTGCATCGATGACCTCCCAGCAGCGCTGCGTCAGCTCAGGCTCCTCAAACAGCCGGCTCTGGGACAGCAAGACACAGGCGTTCTTGGCTTCCAAACTTGTCTCCAGAAAGTTGACACAAGCTTTTGCCAATGCTGGGACGATGTACTTCTTAGCAGCGTAGAGAGTGGCCAGCACCGTGTCAGCTTCCAGATCGATCTCATCACTGTACATGTACCTAGGCGAGGCAAGGCCCGCGTCAGGGGCTGGCTCACAAGCACCTATTGCGGGGCTGGGCCTGGGAGAGTCGTCCATCAGCTCCTGTGTGCTCCCCCTCAGAAGCCACGGGAGGCCGCCTAGAACGGACCCACCCGTCCTTCCCCAGTACAGAGGGGACTTACTTTAACAGGATCAGAAAGGCTGCGGGCTCCACGTCTGGAATGTGAATTTCAGATTTGACTTCCGCCAGGTCCCCGTAGAACATGGCATAGAAGACGGAGCTGCCGACAGCCAGGACGTACTGGGAGGAGAAAGCGCCGCCGTGAGCCTGGCTGTCCCGCGGCCTGCGGGCAGCCACACGGCAGGCGGGGCACGCCTTCCGAGAGGGGTCGCCGCTACCCACCTTGTGGGCGGGCACCGTCCTGGTCGCCCCCGGGGGCCCCACGACGAAGTGCACGTCGGCCATGAGCTCGTTGTTAAACATGAGCGCGTTCCTGCAAAGGCAGAGGCACGGGCTGGGGGCGCGGGCGCGGGCGCGGGCGCGGGCGCGCGCGGGTGCGCGGGCCGCGGGGGGCGGGCTCACCTCTCGCGCAGCGTGGGGCGGCAGCACCGCCAGCCGGGGCTTTCCGGGTGGTGGTTGTCGAGTGTGGGGGGCGCGGGCGCGGGCGGCGGTGGCGCGGGCGCGGGGGCGCTGGGCGGGCTGCGCGGCCCGGCCTTCCTGCCCACGGCGGCACCGGCGTTGCTGTTGGCGAGGTCCGCGGCCGCGGCGCTGGCGGGGGCGTAGAGCTCCGCCGCCATCTTCGCGGGCGGGGCGGCGGGGGCGGCCTCGGCGCCTGTGGACGCCGCGCCCCGCGCCCTCGCACCGCGCCGGGGCCTTGGGAGCGGCTCTGCAAGCAAAAGCAGGGAGGTCAGGCACTGAGCGACGCGGCCATGCAGGCAAGCCAGGGGCAGCAGCATGGGCGGCGGCGGCGCTGCGACCCGCGGGGTTGCCACCCGCTCCCTTGCCACCCCCGCCCCTGCGACCCTGCGACCCTGCCCGAGCCCAGCCTAACGCAGCCCGGCCAGGCCCGGCCGCAGGGGGCGCCGTCCCGCCCGCCTGAGCCTGTACCCGCCGCGGCGCCGGCGCGTCACGCTGCGTCAGGGCCGCGCCCCTCGCGACGACGCTGCCGTGCGGCCCCGCCCCCAGGCCCGACAGCCTGGAAGCTGCTGGAGTTTCTTTCCGTGCCCTGCAACCGGCGCGAGACGCGCACTGTGCAGAGGCCACTGTGGAAGGCGGCTCCCGGCTCTGGCAGGCGGCTGCCCCCAGACCCGCAGTGCCATGCGCAGGTGCTTGCGCCCGTTCTTTAGTTAGCGATCTTTTTAGGAACGCAGGTGGACCTGCTTGTTGGTCGTTTGCATTCCGGAGTCTGTGCCTCTGGCCGAGGCTTGTCGGATGGTCGTAGGGCTTCCTCGTTGGTTCAGATACCTCGTGATTTAGCTTATTGCAGACGCCAGCAGCAAACGCTCGCGGAGAGCGCGGTCCACTCTGCTCTGAGGGCTTTCACAGGGGCAGGCGCTGCTATTTCCTCGCATTTTCCTCGAGGAAATGGGCACAGAGAGGTTAGTCGCGTGCTGAAGGTCACACAGCGGGCGGGTGGGCAAGTCAGGATCTGGCTCCGGGCCTGCAGCCTTGGAGCTTGGGCCCCAGGCCGCGCCCTGCCTCTGTGGCTCCGCCTGTGGATCGCAGTCGCAGGCTCGTTCCCTATGGGGCCTCTAGCCTCCCAGCCTGGAGCTAATCCTGGGAGGTGCGTGGCAGTGGGCACTGGCTTTGCCGATGTGGAGACCAGACTTCAGAGACTGTGTCACCTGGCTTGGGCTGCGCAGCCGGTGCACGCCAAGCTCGCGTGCAGACGAAGCTCCAGAGGCCTGGCTGTCAGGAGAGTTCCTCCCTGAGGACACGCATGCAACCTTCTGGACCTCCAGGCTTCAGACTTTCAAAACTCCCATATACAGGAAAGTCCCCAGGACGCAGCCAGCAGCTCGGGTCATGGGTGCACCCATCACCGCAGTCCTGGGCAAAACAGTGAATAGGAGCTCTGTGTCTCTGGTCGTTACAGTTGTAGTAAATGTTACCTGGGAGAGTCCTCTTCGGAAAATATTTGCCGTATTTTCAACAAAGGACTCTCCAGGATTAATGAGCGACCACAAGTCAGGAAGGAAAAGGCTGACAACCCAGTTTTTTTAAAAAACGGGCAAAGGACGTGAACAGACACTATGCAATGACCCAGAGTGCACACATCATCATTTCACCCGGGAATGGGGCGCCAGAGCCCCCAGGCGGCTGAACTTGAGACTTGTCATGCCAGTGTTGGTGGAACACGGAGCAACTAGAGGTCACCTGCTATAGGTGGGCGTGTAACTCTGCAGGGCCAAGCCCTTTGGAAAGCCGTAGCATATGCATGAGGGTCCAGAAAGTCCCAAGAGAAAGTGTGTGGATGCACCTACCAAGGACACACCTGCAGAGGCCACAGCTGCGATTTCATAGTGTGGGACCCCACTGGCAAAGACACACTGGCTGCTGTGGCCATGGTTTCTGTCCCAGCCATCTATTTCCATAGGAAAAGGTAACGGGCGTAAGCAGTTTCCAGGAGAAATACAAATGGCCAGAGTGGAGACAGCCTACATGTCCATCAGCAACAGAGAGGATCAACACGTTGTGGTGGGTCCATTTGGGGAACGCAGTGAGAGGGAATAACTTACAGCAACACACAAAACCTGGGCGACAGCTGCCTCGGGGCTAGAGGTGCCAGGATAGAACTGCTGAGCCGCCAGAGGTGGTCAGTGTCTTGATCTGCATGGTGGTGTTGAGTGTGTGAATAATAATTCTCATCCTTAGAAGCCACGCTTTGCACTCTGATTTTTAAATATGTTACAGTGTAGGCCAGGCACAGTGGCTCACGCCTGTAATCCCAGCACTCTGGGAGGCCAAGGTGGGCGGATCACCTGAGGCCAGGAGACCAGCCTGGCCAACATGGTGAAACCCCATCTCTACTAAAAATACAAAAATTAACTGGGTGTGGTGGGCGCCTGTAATCCCAGCTACTTGGGAGGCCAAGGCAGGAGAATGGTTTGAAGCAGGGAGTTGGAGGTCACAGTGAACTGAGATCACACCACTGCACTCCAGCCTGGGTGACAGAGCAAGACTCTGTCGACCAGGCTGGTCTTAAACTCCTGGCCTCAAGTGATCCAACCGCTTAGGCCTCCCAAAGTGCTGGGATTACAGGTGTGAGCCACCACGCCCAGCCATCATTTTCTTTTTTGTTTGTGATAGTGGTCATCCTAATGGATATGAGGTAGTGTCATGTGGTTTTGATTTGCATGTCCCTGATAAATAACGATGTTGAGCATCTGCTCGTGCTTGTTGGCCATTTGCATGCCATGTTTGGAGAAATGTCTGTTGAAGGGCTTTGCCTTTTTTTTTTTTTTTTTGAGACAGCCTCACTCTGTTGCCCAGGCTGTAGTGCAGTGGGGAGGGTGCACCGCAAAGTCTGCCTTCCAGGTTCAAGCGGTTCTCGTGCCTCAGCCTCCCAAAGAGCTGGGATTACAAAAGAGCAATTTGCCCATTTTTAATCAGTTTTGTTCCTGAGTTGTAGGAGGTTTTTTGTATATTCAGGATGTTAACCCTTTATGAGATAGATGGTTTACACATATTCCCTTCCCTAGGATATCATTTCTGTTCATGGATTCCTTTGCTGGGCAGAAACTTTTTAGTTTGAGGTTATCCAATTTGTCTATTTTTACTTTTGTTGCCCTTGTTCTTGGTGTCATGTTCGAGAAATCTTTGCCAAGACCAATGTCATAAAGTCTGTCCCTATGTTTTCTTCTACGGGTTTTATAGTTTTGAGTCTGTGTTTGGGTCTTGAATCGGTTTTGAGTTAGTTTTTGTGTATGATGTAAGGTAAGGGTCTATCTTTATTTGCAAGTGGATATCCAGTTTTCCCAGCGCTGCTTATTGAAGAGACCATCCTTTCCCCATTGTGAAAGAAGTTCTTGTCACCCTTTTTGAAAGTCACCTGCCCATCATTGTCATTTCTGACCCTGTTCTGTCCTGTCCTGTCCTGTCCTGTTCTGTTGGTCTGTAGGTCTGTCTTCATGTCAGCACCCTACTGGCTGTTGGACTTTTTAATTCTTTTCTTGACAGTGGTAACTTATTTGTTTCTTTTTATTTATTAGTCCCTTTGCCTACTTTAAATCATTAATTTTGTTAATTTTAAATTTTCTGTTACTTGACTTAGTTCATTAATTTCATTGCTTCCTTTATTTATTTATTTATTTTTGAGATGGAGTCTTGCTCTGTCGTCCAGGCTGGAGTGCAGTGGCGCCATCTCAGCTCATTGCACCCTCTGCCTCACAGGTTCAAGCTATTCTCCTGTCTCAGTCTCCGAGTAGCTGGGATTACAGGCGCATGCCACCGCGTCCAGCTAATTTTTTGTATTTTTTAGTAGAGATGGGGTTTCACTGTGTTGCCCAGGCTGGTTTCGAACTCCTGAGCTCAGGCAATCAAAGTGCTAGCCTCGTACAATCGAAGTACCTCGGCCTCCCAAAGTGCTAGGATTACAGGCATGAGCCATCACGCCTGGCTCTTGCTCTCTTAAATATACAAAGCGCTTAAGTTAATGAAGTTATCTAAAGGATTGTACTTTAATTTCTAATAGCGTTTGGAGGTGAGAGGACTGCTTGTTTTTGCTTGTTTTTAGTTTTTTGTTTTTTTTTTTTACTTGGGATCAAGTGGCACATCCTGTGTGAATTGTGTTGAGAGTTTCTTTATTCTGTAGTACCTGGTCATTTTCATAACTGTCCCACAGACACTGGAAAAGCATGATGACTCCATGGGGTACAGAATTTAGAACATCCTTGTCAGATTGAGCCTATAGTGATGTGTCTTATATCGTCCCTTAGTCTTTTTTTCCTAATCAGTCTGTCAAATTTCAGAGAACCATGTTAAAATCTCCCCTTATTGTGGTTTCGAAGGTTGTTTCATTGCTTTTCCTTCATTTAATTCTTCCTCTGTCACTGTGCACCTGCAGATTCCAGGCTGCTTCACATAGTTTCCTGTCCATTATGAAATGCTCATGCCTGTCCCGTGCCACTCTGCCACTCCACGTTTGCCCACAGTGCCGCCGCTGCCCAGCGCCTCTGCTCCACCCTAGTCACTGACGGATTTGTCTTGAAAGCACGCTTTTTGCTTGTCTTTTTTGTTTTGAAACACGGTCTCAGTCACCTAGGCTAGAATGCAGTGGCACAGTCATGGCTCAGTGCAGCCTCGACCTCCTGGACTCAAGCAATCCTGCCACCTCAGCCTTCCAAGTAGCTAGGAATGTAGGTGTGAGCCACTCTGCCTGGCTTGTCTTGAATTTTTTTTTTTTTTTTTTTTGAGATGGAGTCTCGCTTTGTCGCCCAGGCTGGAGTACAGCGGCACAATCTTGGCTCTTTGCAACTTCCACCTCCCAGGTTCAAGCAATTCTCCTGTCTCAGCCTCCTTAGTACTGGGATGACTGCAGGGACATACCACCACGCCCAGCTAATTTTTGTACTTTACTTTAGTAGAGACGGGATTTCACTGTATTGGCCAGGCTGGTCTTGAACTCCTGACGTCAGATGATCCACCCTCCTCGGCCTCCCGAAGTGCTGAGATTACACGTGTGAGCCATCATGCCCAGCCGTTGATATATTTTCCAGTGTCTTTGAACTGAGTTTTCTATTTCAAGAATTAATGAGTGTCAAAGTCCCACCCCCATCAGTACATCTTTTTCTTTTTCTTTTTTCTGTCACCCAGGCCTGAGTACAGTGGTACAATCACAGTTCACTACAGCCTCAACTTCCCGGGCTCGAGTGATCCCCTTGCCTCAGCCTCCTCAGTAGCTGGGACTAGACCACACCCACTAATTTTTTTTTTTTTTTTTGGAGGCAGAGTCTTGCTCTGTCGCCCAGACTGGAGTGCAGTGGTATGATCTTGGCTCACTGTAACCTCCACCTCCCAGGTTCAAGCAATTCTGGAGTCTCAGCCTTTCAAGTATCTGGGACTATAGGTGCCCGCCACCACACCTGGCTAATTTTTGTGT